CGAAAGAAGAAGAAGAAGAAGAAGAAGAAGAAGAAGATTCGAAAGAAAAGTTTAGCAAGTTGACGACTTCATCGGCGTCGCAACGGAACAAGCCATCGACAGACGTATCTGTTGGTTTTTCTCTTGGAAACCAGGTGACACGTGGGGGGCTAGCAACGAAGGTAAACGACGATTAACCCCCCAGTGCCATCCGTGCACCCGTTCCCTCGCTTGCCGAGCTATTTACGGGCTAACGATGTAAACGGGTTTCGCCGCATTACGATTAACTCGGACGCAATTATAATGGACCTTGAACGCGGCTCGGGTATCGGCGAGCTCTTCCGTGGTCTAGGAAGTACAGCTGCCGTTTCCTTGCCCGTACATATTATCCGGCGAGTCGTTAATATCGAGCATATATATATATACATACATAGTAACAGTCGCGAAACCGGAAACGCTGGAAACGCCTGTCAGCGCCCTTGGAATCGTCGCTGTTGCGAGAAGAGCTGACCTTGTGCAAACGAACTGCAACTAACTCGTAGACGTTGTCTTGCGGCAATGGTGTGTTTCGGTCAGTGTGATCGCCGTTGCATAAATGCTATGGTGTTTCGGCCGTTGCGTGCCAAAAAAAGGGAAAAATATTTTGTATATTAAATTATGTATACATGTATCTTTTTGCGAGTGTGTATCGCTTTGAGTTGAACGCTTCGATGAAACATCTTGTACAATATATATAATATATATAATATATAATAATAATATATATTAGTATATAATAATATATATATTAATATATAATAATATATATAATATACAATGGATGTAGAAAGTATTCGTACACGTTACGTTAAAAAACGTAATAACATTATTATATATATTATGTATTATAATTGGGCCAAGCGGCCTGAATCGTTTGGGGGATGCTAGAGTGATTTTAGATTGCTAGACAACAGCTAAAAAGTTATTTAGAAAAATTGCAATTTGTTGGCGTGATAAATGATCGAGAAAATGATGTTCTTTCAACTTTTTTATCTGAGGCTGTAACGAAAATTTGAAAAAGTGAGTTTTGTGGATTTCATTAATTTGTACGCGTGCAGCAAATTTCGATGTCTTGACAATACATCAACCGATTTCATCGAAATTTGCTGCACGCGTGCAAATTAATGAAATCTACAAAATTCACTTTTTCAAATTTTCGTTACAGCCTCAGATAAAAAAGTTGAAAGAACATCATTTTCTCGATCTTTTATCACGCCAACAAATTGCAATTTTTCTATGAAAAAGAAAATTTAAAAAAAAATGCCTTTCGTAGATCTCGGTAATTTCTGTGCAAATTTGATCGAAATCGGTTAACTCAGAGTCGAGCTATAGGGGTTGAAAGATTCTAAAAACTGCAGATTTTTTGCAGTTTTTGATGAAAATCGTGGCAGAACCGCGATTTTTGCGATCATTAATTTGTTGCAACTCGTAACAACGCGAATCGATTCTGCGAAACAATGAACATTTTCTGACTTTCTACATTTTTAAGCGATGCAGCAACAATAATAGTAATAATAATAATAATAATATAATATTATAATAATATATATATATATAATATTATATAATAATATAAATATATAATATTATAATAATAATATTTATTATTTAACCCCATTTTACCCTGTAACTCCTGCAACGATCATTCCCGACTAGAGCGGCCACCCCGTCGATGGCCTTCTTCCGCGAGAATGCTAATTAACAATTGGCAATTCGCAGGCGATGCCGGGGCGAGACCGTAAAACGGTCCGTTGGCGGAGGCTAACAAGGCGTGAAGGGTGATTTAACCGGTGACGTCACGGCACCGCCGAAAATGTTTGACGGTTCTCGAGGAGCCCGGTGAACGAAGACACGCGAACGGGGAGCCGACGACGAAGAAGGGCGGAAAAGAGAGACAGGGATCCACCCCACCCCCTCCGTCAGGCTCGTAAACCGGCGCAATGGTCCCGGGGGCGGTGAAGGGTGGTTCAGCCGCCGGGGCCAAAAAGCGGACGGAGGTCGTCAATGTTGATGATGCGTGGATCACGATGTACTGACGGCTCCATCATAGCCTCTCTCGGTGTTCTCTACGCCCCAACGGATCGCCGCGATCGCCGCGCACTTTGCCATTCTATGGGAAGATATACCACCTCGGCGAGGCCTATTCCATTTGCTTTATTGAAATAACTCGGAGGACGCCGAGCGCCGACACGTTCGCGCGTTCGAGGGTCGGCCGATTCTATCCGAAACGATTTTCAACGATTCACTCTCGCGAGAACGCCCCTCCACTCCCCGCCCCGTAATAACGTAGAACAAATACGGAATACAGGGTGGAATACAGGGTGTTCACGGTCGCCACGATGTTTTAGGCATTTAGGTCGATCTGGCAAAAAAATGTGTCGAATAAAAGTTACTCAGTAGTTTGATGGAAATAATGTGCATTAATAAAAATTGGGAAACATTTTTTTATTCAATAAAAAGCTAAGGTCACCTTGACTTTTTTAAATTGCACTGTGTATTTTTGACTCAATATTGTTGTAGCTGATGAAAAGACGACCTTGAGCTCATAAATTGGCAATAACTACGAAACTCTGTTTCCTACGCGTTAATGATACGACGTACAAACGTAATAATCGCAGCAATTATACCATATGAGGATGTTGTAGATTGAAACGAATGTCTTCATTTGAAAAAATTGAGATGTCTCCAAATGAACGTCTTCATTTTGTAATTGAGATTGTTTCGTGTGGAAAGGGTTGAAAGTGCCAGAAAATTAGACGGATTTAAAATCGTCAACACAATATTTTCCACTTATCGAGTTTATTAACACTTTGCATTCGAGTGACGTCTCCGAGGTGCCATTAAAATCTCTCAAATTGTCACGTCTCAAAATAATGTTATTAATCAAATTTGTTTATATTTAGAGAGCCGTTGAAAGCGTAACTATTGCACGGATCACAATGGTTCAATTTATAGGTACATAAATTGATAAATTGATCAAATATATATATTAGGTCGGAGAAACTATTTTAAATTTTGCGTTAATTCGGCTTCGAGTGCAAAGGGTTAACAGAGGATATCTTTAAGAGTATCTTTACGATATGTATAATAAGTTATTATATCTTAAAAATTATACGAACACTTTTTTGGGCCACTCCAGCTCATCGAGAACATGTAAAAAAAGTCTTTGAAACTTTGTTTCCCGTCCGCTAATGTGAATCGACCTTTACCGCTTGTTTTCGGACATGTAACGTTACAAGGTTTGGTAAACCGACTGACAAAAAGGAGAGCGAGAGAAAAAAAACGCAAGCGAACGGTCCGTTTGTGCGCGGCGTGGGCAACAACACTTTGCCGCCGAATTTGCTCGCCACCCTTCCGATTCGTTTGTTTTTCGCGCCGGCAACAGCCGGCGAACAATTCGAACAATTCCCGCCTGCGAAACATCCGAATTGATCCGAGTTGCCCGTAATCCCGGCGCGGGAACAATCGAAGAGCAGCGACGACGAGAGAACGGGTGTCGAAATTGACGGGCGCGCGCGCGCGCGCTCATACGCGACACCCGACACGACGGTTCGGAAAATTAGATGCAAAGCGAGCAAGAGGTAAACGCAGGAAAAAGGATGTTTCCTGGGCATGATCATTTCGGGGCGTCGCGCCGCGTCGGCAGAAGCGCGGGACGAGCGGCTGACATGCGAGATCCCTGTGCGCCTATCGACACGAATATGCTAATGATCCCGTGGCGCGTTAATTATGCTAATTCCACTATGATTCACCGGGGCAAGCAAACATATGCCGGCCGCCTTGCATTTTATACCGACCACCTGCGGCGCTCTAATTGTCCATGAATTATTAATTTACGGAGGAATAGGCTCTCGTTGCTTGCGCGCACTTCCGAACTTTCACTTTTTAAACGCGCCGAGGGTTGGCTGTTCGTTCGGGAAACGTGTACCTGAAACAGAATATACAGGGTGTTGTTATGCCTGAGAACAGTGAAATATCTCGAAACAGATCGAAGCTACGAAAACAATGTTTATACGAAAAGTGTTCAGTATAAAGAGATGTTTTAGGTAGCATCGATAATTATATTATATATTATGTATTATATAATTATATATATATATTAATAAAATAAATAAATAATTATATAAATATATTATATATTATATTATATTATTATGTTATATATATCGGCATAATGGTGAACGATATTTCAAGGTCAAGTTGATTTTTTTATATAGGACCATACGTTTTTTCAGTCATATTAGAACAGCTGGTTTCAATACGAATACAGTGTTGTATTATTTCTTTCAGATAATCATAAATTAATAATTTACGGTATAACTTACGACGAACGGTTTGGTGCAATGTTTACGTGACATTATTGCTGTCGCCCAATGCAGATGCAACGTACATAATGACGAATTTTTCTGCGTTTCCTTATGCCTTTCGTATTTCCAATAATCAGTCAAGTAATAGCAAAATTAACGAAAAAGAAGTATTTTAATTATCGTTCGGTAAACTGGTTATTCTGTTATCTAAAAAGAAATTAAAGTTATTTAGTTCAGTTTTAAAATACTTATTGCGTGTTAAAAGGTGTACGAACACTTTTTTATGGGCCACTGTATACGTTGATGGAAGTTCTCTCCGTCGATAATACACAAACGACGATATTCTTCGACCTAATTAAAAGCTAATTTGTATCCGGTCATATATTCGAGCAATCTAAATTCTCTTAGGAATTCGATTACCAAAATTTTTGACTCGGAGAACATCAGCTTCATCGTTCGAACAGTTTTGAAACTGTGAGCTTTTCAGCTTGCGACGTGGCGGCGAACGCGTTGAAAAAGAAATTAAATTGAGGTTATTAATTCCAACCTGAAGTTTGCAACGATCTCGAACAAAATAGCGAGAATCCTTAATACATACATACATACATACTTTCACGTGATACGTTCTCGCTGTTTCAATGCCTGTTATTTCAATCAGAAGTTGCAGTTTTTAAAAGGAAAAAACTTTGATAAAGTTTTCGCAAAAATGGGACATTGGCGGACAACGAGTTAACAACGGAAGAATCCGACGCGAAGCAAGCTGAACGTGTTGCGGCCAATTCGACTAGGCCGTTCGAGAGCCGGTCGACCGGTTTACAATGTCGCGCGGATGTTTTAGTAAAGTAGTAAATCGACAGAGCCGTTGAGTCGAGAGCCGGCCGGGATTTAATTAGCAAATTCTGAATATCGGCACGTCGGTCGATATGGCGCGTAGTAGGTCCCCGCGGGGCATAGTCCCTCGACCAATCGAATCGTCGGCCTTTAATCGTTCTCTCGTCGCTCTCGATTTCGCGGAACGTGGAAATACGCGCGATCCACGAAGCGAGCCGAACGCGGATCGCAGCCCCGCGGTAACCTGGACCGGTCGAACGTGCGCGCATTTCGGAGGAGCCCGGCCAGCTCCACGGGACAACACGCTGCATGCGTAATTAATGAAACCAATAAAGCCGTTCGTACCGCTGGAAATTCGTTAAATTTAATTGGACGCAAGTAATCACGCGACCCCGTGAACGCCACGAGGAACATGCGTACGTAGCCGGAGGGAGTGGGGGGGGGGGGG